AAAAAAAAATTTTTTTTTAAAAGATAATAAACACAAAAAAGAAATCCACCCACCTCCTGAACCTAATTATGAATATGGATCTGTCTGTGGATGCCAGCAGCTCTTACAAGGGCACTTCTACATTTATTATGTCACTGTGTTAACTGTTCAAAGGAGAAAATCACTATGATCACCTTGGCATGACTATTAGGGAAAACGGGCTATTACTGATTTTCATTTATTAGAAAGGGCTACATGACTATTGCTTTGTCCAGATAAAACTGACTTGAATCAAAGCAGAGTCCAGCATCATGCTTGTCAAGACCCAGAAACTTTCCCATTTAGGTCACTCACTCTTCACACTCTCAACTTCAGTGTTTTGGAAGTACCAGCTGTGACAAAGGTCATTATGTAACTGGGCAAGACTAAAACAATACTAATACGATTGCCTCCTCCTTTATACTTGCTGGTAAAATGACTGTACTGAGAAAATTGAGGCTCTAGTAAGACTGTTATAACTAATAAGAGAACTTAACAGCATGACAGGTTCATCTGGACCAACTACGCAAGACTGCAGAGGATTAACCTGAGCAGATTAACAGCAACCACTACAGTGAAAGCCCAACAGCACTCAGAAGGCCTGACATAGCACAGTGAAGCGAGATCCCTCTTTGTACACTTGCGCCAAAACTCGACTAGACCAATTCTGCATCAAGGAATTCTAAATGCAATCATGCTAACAGGATTTTCTTAATGAACCCCTGACAAACTGATGTCAAGCACTCATCTTGCAAACCAGGTGGGTGAAAATAGTTCATAGTTTGTTTTTTTTTGTTTGTTTTTTTGGTTTTTTTTAGAAATAATGAGAGGAACTATCATTTATCCAAGTTATAAAACTACCATTTGTACAGCAGTATGTGTACTCAGACTAAGATCAACGAAGCAGAAGGGACCAAGACCAAAGCCTATGCCCAATAAGTACCATGGAAATTTAGTCTGTAATAAGGACGGTGTTTCCAATAAGCAGAAGAATCTAGTCAAAATTTGTTGAAAGAACATATGCTCCATACCATATACACAAAGAAACTCCAGATAAGTGCAACAATCAGACAAAAACAAACAAACAAAAAACCCTGAAATACAAGAAAGTATTTATGAAATCTGCCTATCTATAAATGAGATAGGAATAAAAACAGATCTGAAAGGAAAAATACCTAAATTATATAACTTCTTTATGAAAACTAAATTTAAAGGTAGAAGATAAATGGGGGCGCCTGGGTGGCTCAGTTAGGCATCCGACTTCAGCTCAGGTCATGATCTCACGGTTCGTGAGTTCAAGCCCCACATTGATCTCCCTGCTGACAGCTCAGAGCCTGGAACCTGCTTTGGATTCTGTGTCTGCCTCTCTCTCTGCCCCTCCTCCACTTGTGCTCTCTCAAAAATAAATAAATATTAAAAAAAATTAAAGGTAGAAGATAAATAAATGTTGGTCTGGGATATTTGTAGTATCAATACCCATAATTAATACAGAGTTCCCAGAAAGAAGAAAAAAAAAGGGGAAAGTATATAAACTCACCAAAGTACAAATGGTCCATAAACATAAAAATATGTGTAAGCTTCATGAGGGAAATGTCAACAAACTAAACATAGTATCAGATCTGCCAACCTTAAAAAGATCATTAAAAATCACTGGCAATGAAGGGGAAAAAGCTTTCATGTAATTGAGCAGCTATATGTATTTTTCAGAGAGCAATCTGTTGCTACCAGATTTTTAGCTTCTATCTTGGTTGATTCTAAAATTCTATTTTAAGAAATCCTACCTGCAAAAACAAAAACAAAAAACACCCCAACTTGAATATGCAACAACAAAAAATATGCAATAATGTTTTCTGCAACAACCTGAAAGACTATCAAGAGGAAACATCAAATGTGGACTACATAGCAGCTGTTAAAATGGATACAACAGGCCTGTTTGTATCCAGTAGAACACTCCCAAGTCATAAACATATTCATATACACACATGAAAACATCTGTAAAAAAAAGTCTGGCCAGATGCACCAGTTACTGGTGATCACATGAAGGAAGAGTAGTAGAGCAGAGGAGCCCCTAACAGTCAACTGGCCACTGGTAACAAATTCTCATTAAACCAAGTAGTATGCCCCTGACTCAGACCAGAGGAAGAAACAGTCTGATTCAGCATGTATGAGCTAGTCATCACAGCACCCCATCTGGGGGTTTCCCCTGTCACCTTGTTTTCTAGGACACCAGTCCCTGACTAACCAGCCCATTCCCTGCCAGGACTCCCATGGGCCTGGGTCTCACCTGAAAAGGTGTCTTGAGGAATTCCTCTCTCCACCGACCAGAGCGCTTCCTCCTCCTCTAACTGAGATACCACATCTGGCTTGGAAAGCTGATGTTCTGCCCAAGGGAAAAGAGACAGGGCTTGGGGGTCTGTGTTCAGGAGAAAATGCATTCCTCCTGTGGCACATGCTGTCCCTGAATTCTTCCCTGCAAGGGCATGACTTCTGGTCTACAGCAGTGATGATAATGCAATCCATCCCCTTTGTCAGTTACTTGCCTTCCTGGACTCCCTTGCCAATAAAAGTGGCAGTGGGACCCCAGTTCTGGCCAGCAAGACACAAAGGGAAATCTGTCAGCTGGAGACGTTAGGGCCTTTTTTTTTCCTTGCTAAATAATGGCAGGTGTGAGAAGAGAACTAGCCAGGACTGCCCCCTTCACTTTCTTTCTGCCCTGAACATGGATATGATGTTGGGTGCCTCAGCCATGCAGACACATAAGCGTGGAAAAGTTCACACTAAGCACAGGGAAATGGAAGGGATCAGTCTTCAATGATACTTCTGATCTGTTGGGACACTGACCCCACATCCTCCGGAATTGTTACAAAAATGAACATCTACTACTGTAGCTGGAAACATTCCTGATAGACCTACCTCCCTAGCAACTCAAGGCCTCTGAGGGATGGACTAGGCAGCTTTAGAAGTCATGTGAAGATGCCCTTTCCCTACAGGTACAAAGTAAAGCCCTCTCCCTCAGACTCCAGGACCTTGACAATTGCACTCTGATCCCTGCAGCCTAAGCCAAAGCAGACACACACTTCAGAGGCACCACATTCGTGCTGCAAAGCGCAGATCTTTATTGACATGGAGGCCATCCTTACCCACTGAGACCAGGTTCCTGTAGTTCTCCAACATCACCTCCCTGTACAGGGACTTCTTTTCGAGGTCCAGCAGTCCCCATTCGTCTGAAGTAAAACCCAAGGTCACATCTTCAAAGGTCACTGGTTCCTAAAACCCACAGGTTTCTGTTCAGCCAGGGTCTGTCATCACCCACGCTGACAGGAAGGGACAGGCTGACCCAGCACATGAGGGCACAGTCTACAAGATGACCTGAAAGCATTCCCGACGTCTCGTGTGTTTCTGCGTTTGTCTGAAATTGAGCAAACCCAAGCTTGGCCCTATTCAGGTCACAGCAGGGAGGACATGTGAAGCCAGAGAGTTCTTTGTTCGCTGAAGATCTCCCATTTTTTATTAACTTGGACATTCCAGTACTAGTATTAGCGTCTATGCGTCTTATTAGGGAATTCTGCGAGCTGAATCATCACACCCAAGCCTTCAGCTCCCGTCCATCGCCTAGGCTGCTTCTACTTCCTTCACTGGTCAAGGATCCATCCTCCTCTATCGTTTTTTTCCTAGTGATAGAGCTCTCATCCCCTCCAGCTTTGATGCCAAAATGGCTACTGAAATGTAAAAATGAACCTAATCCCGACTTAAACCTGTCAATACCTATCCTCGATACAGAGGATAAACTAGAGTCCCCCAGAACCTGACCTGTACTCTAACCATTCCCTTGGGAAGCTAAGCAACCAGCGGTTCCTCCATTCAGCAAAGTCTCTCATGCCCAGCTAGTCTCTCAATCCTCCCGAAGATGCTCTGGAGCCTGTAAGGCATCTCAAGGGAAGGTGGCATCTCACTACCACCCTGCCCCCCCCCCCCCCACCCCCCGATCCCGGGGTAGACTCAGAAACTCAAAGAAGCCTCTACTCACACGAAACCAGGCCGTCGGAAGCCCGGAGGCCATACCTTCCTTCTCCTCGACGTACCTCGTGGGAGTGGGCAGTCCTGAGAAGGTCGAATTTGGGAGGTGGAAGGGGTGTTAGGTCTATGCGGAAGGGAGCCCCCTACTTAGCCCAGAACCGGCATCATCAATGTGAAATAACAGGTCCACCCGCCACCTAGAAAAACGCGCTGAAGGGGTCGTCTCCACCTTCTCCCCGACGCCTGGAGGGCCGGTTTCCCCCTGGTCAAGAGGAGATTGTCCTCATACCTTTCTCACCCAGATGAAGTTACACCCTTCCCTAGTCCGCACGCGCCCAGAACGGGTCGGCCCACCTTAAGCCCCACGCCTGGAGGGAGTTGTCTTCCCTTTGGGCCCCGGGTTCCCGACCACACCGCCCCTTCCGGCCCCGCAGCAGGAAGACGGCAGGCACGACCGGCCTTGGACTCCAGAGGTTGGCGGGGAAGGGACTGAGGCCGCACACCCCGAAGAGTGGCCCCGGGATGTCTCCGCACAGCGCCCGACGGGAGCGGATTTCGCGCCACACTCACCCAGTGCGCGGCGCACAATGGCGACCGTCGGCCCGCGGCGAAATGCGTCAGCGCGCAGGGCCGGACTACAACTCCCAGCCACCCCTGCGGCGTGCCCGCCCGACCTCTCCCAGGCGGCGGCCATGTTGGCCGGCCATCTCGGATGGCAAGCGAAGCCTGGGCGGGCCGGAAGAGGGCACTCGCCAGCGACCCTTGGTGGTCCAGCTGGGTCGGGGCGGTGGGGGGGCTTGAGTCGAGTACGCCAGGCCGCGGGGCCTCAACACTTTCCCAAGCAGCGGCGCAGGCCAGAACAGAGTCGTGCTCCGCCACGAGGGCGACCACTCGTGGGAAGGACCGGAAGTTGGGGAAGGGACGGAGAGCAGAGGGGGTGGGCCGGAAGTAGATTAAAGTTGGGTGGAGGAATGGCGGGAAGGATTACTACATTTCTTGGCGGAGGAGGAAGAGCGGGCAGGGCCTGAAGCGTAGAGGGTTGGGGCTGCTGTTCCTACCCAACGTGAAGGAAGGAAGGGCAGGAACCGCGTGGGAGGGAAGCGTACAGAGGGCGGAGCTAACGTCCAGCCAAGCTCGGGGAGAGGAGGAGGAGCGGGCGGAGAGCGGGTAGGAGGGGGGAGGAGCTAAAGTCCATCCAAATACCGGGAGGAGGCTGCCGTAGGAAGGCCGGAAGTGAGTGGGGGCGATGCTAAATGCCGTTCCTCGTATAAGGGGAGGAAGAAGGGCAGGAGGGGGAGGAAGAAGTTAGGAGGGGAAGGGAGGGCCGGAAATGTGCTGGAGACCGCCTGGGTCCAGAGAGGAAAGGAGGGCGGGCCTCCCCCGTAGGTGCTGGTGGTGCGGCTCTGTGTCCTCCAGTTGTAGGCAGGGGAGAAGGGTCAGGCTTAAATGTCCACTCAAGTTGTGTGTAGAAAGGCAGGGTTAACTGTACCCTAGGAACGGGTGTGGGGGTAGGTTGTCAAAGAAAACCAGAGCTAGACATAAGCTAAAACGGTGGAAATAAATTTTATTCATCATAATGTAGCTACAGGGGAAGACACACTCCAGTGTAGACTTGGGGTCAATTCTGAATACCAGCAGATCAAGTGGGGATTTATAACTAAACAAGTTGGAGTTGGGGGTGTTAGCTGATAAATACACAGTCCGGCGGCTTTTGGCTGTACCAACCTAATAAGATTTTTGCTGAAGGCAGGCCTAGGTGATCTGATACCACCTGGGGGCAGTCGTGGGGATGAAGTTTGATCAGTTTTCAAGGGTAGAGAATTCTTATTAAACTGACAGGATTCTTGCTAAAACTGGATTCTACAAGGAAGTACATGGAAGGTTGTTGGGGAGAGGGTTCAGGGGAATCTGACTAAACTTTGGGTAAGCAAAGAATCTTGGTCAGGGAGGAGGAGTGGGATGGGTAGGATCCTCTGCGCAGTGTCCTCTTCTGGGAGCCATGGTGTCCCTGTCTAGGAAATGAAAGAAGACTTGTTTCTGCCCATGATCTGGTGTGTGCTCGTCTTCCCTGGGGGCCAAGGACTAAGTAGTCTCTTATCTTCCTCAGAGTCCAGTATCTGGTGTTTTCTCATCTTGGTCAGGTCCCAGGGCCTACTGTGGTCTTGACTTCTTCAGGGTCCAGGCTTTGATGTTCTCGGGGCTCTCCTAATATTCTTGGGCCCCAGACTTGGTGGATTCTCCTCTTGGAATTTCCCAGCAGGTTTTAGCAACCCTATGCCTCCCTTTGGGTCATCCTGTCCACAGCCTGCCAAACTTGTTCCAGGCATTGTTATTTATTTATTTGTTGAGAGAGAGAGAAATATCTTAAGCAGTCTCCACAATGTGTGCAGAGCGCATCACAGAGCTCGATTACACAATCCTGAGATCATGACCTGAGCTGAAATCGAGTTGGATGCTTAATGGACTGAGCCACTCAGGTGTGCCCAGGAGTTGTTAATTTTTATTGTTACTGTGGAGAGCATCTACCTGCCAGCTGCACATTGTTCATCATATTTGTTGCAATAAGACGGTCTTGATTTTGATTAGTATTTACTCAGAAACTGAGAAGAAGTCTTTTATACTAAGAGTATTTCCTTGGATTTTCTTGTGGCTATTGTAGAGAAAATACAATCTCCATTCTGTAAGTAATTTGGCTTCTTCCTTTTCCATATTTTGACTTAAAAAAAAATCTATGTTATAGCCCTAGGTAGTGTGACAGAGCCACATTAATTAGTCATGTTATTTTTGCTTTGTGTTGGATGTGACTGGGGATGCTTTTCATGGTTCATCATCCAGTTTGATGAAGGACCGTAACATCTTAAGGAAGCAAGTCCCCTTGGAAGTTCTGTCAATTTCTGTTTATATGGTATGGGATAAAAACATGATTTTCAGTTAAAAGGTGATTTTCAATAAATATATTATTGGAGACTTATTCATGAAAGCCACTTTAAATACAACTTTTAATGGGGCACCTGGGTGGTTCAGTCAGTTGAGCATCTGACTTCAGCTTAGGTGGTAAGCCCCACATCAAGCCCCACATGGGGCTCGCTGGCCTCAGTACAGAACCCACTTCAGATCCTCTGTCCCCCTCTCTTGGCCCCTCCCATGCTTGTCCTCTCTCTCTCTCAACAATAAATAAACATTAAAAAATAAATATAACTTGGGGCGCCTGGATGGCTCAGTCGGTTGAGCATCCGACTTTGGCTCAGGTCATGATCTCTCAGTGTGTGAGTTCGAGCCCCGTGTCAGGCTCTGTGCTGACAGCTCAGAGCCTGGAGCCTGCTTCAGATTCTGTGTCTCCCTCTCTCTCTGCCCCTTCCCTGCTCATGCTCTATCTCAAAAATAAATTAAAAAAAAAAAAAAACATTTAAAAAAAATAAATAAATATAACTTTTAACAATAAATTCTGTGTTCTTTTCCCACTTAGCAAATTAAGCATGCTACTTAGTTTACTGTGATTGATCATGTTAAAGCATTTATGAACAAATAATAACTATTACGCAAGTAAAATATAAAAAATGTCATGTATCCTTTTTCATACAGGGCCCCAATCCCTTATTCAAAACCTTCAGGGCCAGAACTGTTTTGGAATTCACAAGTGTTTGGATCTTAATAGGATAGTAAGGTACGTATATCACATACTATGTAACATCTTGAGCAGGAGCAGAATACATGAAAAGTCACATTAGGTTGGAGAAAATGTGTAAATAGCCTTGTTATTTCTGGTAAATTTGGCAGATACATAATAGAGGAAGAAACTTCATTACAAAAGCTTTTGGAATTTAGAGTTGCAGAAAAGGCATTGTGGATCATACATAAAAATGGCTAGATTAGCAATACTTGTTTCATTCAATTGCAAAGTTAAATTTTTTTTAATGTTTATTTTTGAGAGAGAGAGAGAATGAGTCAGGGAGGGACAGAGAGGGAGACACAGAATCCGAAGAATGATCCAGGCTCCAAGCTGTCAGCACAAAGCCCAACATGGGGCTCGAACCCATGGACTGCGAGATCATGACCTGAGCCACCCAGGTGCCCCCATTCAATTGCAAAGCTTAATTTGTACTTTTCCTCTCAATATACTCCATGTAGTCCAAGACATGTTTATTGAGATACTAAATTGTTGCAATATATTAACATTCTTCCATATACTTTCTTTAATATTCCACTACTGATTTAACATAGGACTAAAAATAAGAGATATAAAACTGTATATTGGCAAAATCACTATGGCAGCTGGTGGCACTCAATGGAGTCTTAAACGTGCCATAAGACTGAATCACGGACCTAATTTGATCTCCACTCACCATTGTTTATTCTTCTTTCACCGTACAGAGCATCTCAGATTGTTTCATGTGAGAGACACATTTAAGTCATTCAGAAAAGGAAGAAAAGCAGGGCACCTGGGTGGCTCTGTTGGTTAAGCAGCGACAGAGCTCAAATCATGATCACAACGTTCACCAGGGATTCGGACTCGTTGAGCTCTGTGCTGACAGCTTAGAGCCTAGAGCCTGCTTCAGATTGTCAATCTCTCTCTTCCCTCTCCACTTTCTCTCTTAAAAATAAATAAATAAATAAATACGTAAATAAACCTTAAAAAAAATTTTTTAAAAGTAGAAAAAGAGGCGCCTGGGTGGCACCAGTCAGTTAAGCAAGCCGACTTCAACCAGTCACGATCTCTTGATCCGTGGTTCGAGCCCCGCGTCAGGCTCTGGGCACTGATGGCTCCAGGCCTGGAGCCCTGTTCCCGATTCTGTGTCTCCCTCTCTCTACTGCCCTCCCCCCGTTCAAGCTCACATGCTATATTTAAAAAATAAATTAAAAAAAGCGTTAAAAAAAATTATAAAAAAAATAAGAAAAGAAAGGTCAACCTTTTTGTCTTTAAAACAGATAGGTGTGTTCAGCTGGCTCAGTGATAGAGTATGTGATTCTTTTATTTTATTTTATTTTATTTTTTTTACGTTTATTTATTTTTGAGAGAAGGAGAGGCAAAACCTCGAAATTGGGGAGGACAGAGAAAGGGAACCACAGAATCGGAAGCAGGCTCCAAACTCCTGAGCGCTCTGGCATCAAACCCTGACAGGCAATTCTAGACACAATGAGATCATGACCTGAGCCAAGTCAGATGTAACTCACGACAGGCCCTGAAAATAATATGTGATTCTTGATCTCAGGGTTGAGAGTTCAAGCCCCTTGTTGGCCATGGAGCCTACTTAAAAACAAAAAAACAAACAAAAAAACCCCACCCAAACCAAAACAAAAAAACCCATGGGTCTCTAGGAGACTTCTCAGAACTCCTCAGACCTTGAGAACTTCAAGTTGGAGAAGCAGAAATAAATTAGCATTTTACCTATAAATTATTAGTAATAATTTATTAAATTATTAGTAATAACTGTTTCCCAGAAAATACACCTTTGGATCTATTTATTACTGCTAAACATTTATTCTTTGCCTGTTCTCCCCAACATCAAAGATAATGTTCCCAGCTGCTTGGCTTCAGCAGCATCAATCGCCTCCCCAGAAAGACATTTCACTAGATGTTTCTCTTAGAGCTATATTGTTTATTGTATAGTTCTAGTTAATGTTTTCCTC